GCAAATAAATTCTTTGCTATAAGCAATCAAATGTTTTAAAACAAAATACTGATCACTTCCCCAAAGTAGTACAATGTTACTGTAACATTATGCTACTTTGGTCATAGTGTAATATGAAAAGAAATCTTAAAAAAAGAGAAAAAATTTAATAAAAATTTTTTTTTTTACAAAATTAAATAAAAAATTATAATGTTTTTTTCATACTGTCACCAGTCAGTGTCCTTGATCACTGCCACACCAGTTATATGATGATGCTGTACTGCCCTGGTGACAATATGTAAAAAAAAATTTGTGAAAATAATTTTTTTAATTTCTTCATTGTGACAAAAAAATTACAACTTAAAAAAAAAACTTGCCATGTCTCTCTACGTCAGACTGTCTACTTTGCAAAAAGGGGTCATTTGGGAGATATCTGTACAGTTCTGACATTTTTGGGCCTTAATAAATTAGATTGGCTGTCAGTACTTCAGGATTGATCTATTTTCAGATATATCCCATAATCTGTGAACTCTATAACTTTCCTACAGACTAAACATAAATACTGATTTGTTTTCTTTTCACTAAAGAAATGTACCAGAATACATCTTGGCCTAAATTTATGAAGAACAATTATTTATTTGCAAACTTTTATCACAGAAGCAAAGAAAAAAGGTGGGTTTTTTACTAAATGTTCGGTCTTTTTTTGTTAATTTAGCAAAAAATAAAAAAACCCCAGCGGTGATTAAATACCACCAAAGAAAGCTCTAGTTGTGTGAACAAAATAATAAAAATTTAGTCTGGGTACAGTGTTGCATGACTGCACAATTATCATTCAAAGTGTGAGAGCGCTGAAACCTGAAAATTAGCCTGGACAGGAAGGGGGTAAAAGTGCCCGGTATTGAAGTGGTTAATATCACGATTAATACGTTCCAGTCCCTGCAACAAAGGATATTTAATGCTCATCTGGGCGGAAGGGCATGGCTACAAGGTCACACGCACACTGCATCACTTCCACTTGTACGGAAGATGTCAACACTACATATGAAATTGATTGCTCGTTGAACGATTTTTTTCAATTGGTTAATGTGGGCCTCAATTTCGACCAACAAACACTGTTTCGTTGGTCGCTGGATGACAGATCTGTTGATTTTCTTACCGTGTATTCCTGCTATAACTCACCACCAGTTGCCCCACCCAAACCCGCCCCTAAACATGTCCTCGTAAATTATCTCATGAAATCACACTGTTAAATGTTTTATGCAGAATTAACTTACAAAAATAAATATTAACAACTTTAACAAAAACATAAAGCAATGTACACATAAAAGGAAAATAAGTGCTTTACATCAATAGGGAAACAAAATATTAAGTGTAACTGCTCAAACCTTTTTAAAACTTACTACCCCCCACAGCCATGTCCCCTACCCCCATCACACACCCCTTTCCTTCACAGCCATGTTCTCTACCCCCCTTCACATCCCCTCCCCACAGCCATGTCCCCTACCCCAATCACACCCCCTCCTCACAGCTATGTCCCCTAGCCCCATTACACCCCTCCCACAGCCATGCCCCCGACTCCCATCATACCCCCCCCCCCCACAGCCATGCCCCCTACTCCCATCACACCCCCCTCCCCCCCACAGCCACATCCCCTACTTCCATCACACCCCCCTCCCCCCCACAGCCATGCTCTCTAACCCCATCACACACCCCTCCCCCCCAACAACCAATCACCTTTTATTGTTCTTACTGTGGTAAGCCAGGTAAAGATACATGATTGGTTGTTATTGGTTACTACATTGTGCACATCATTACTGCCTTGTTCAGTAAATATTTTTAATGCCATATTTAATATAGCATTAAAATATTTACTTAACAAGGCAGTAATGATCACTGCCTATAGTAGCCAATCATATGTTGTCCTTATTTTATTTATCACATTCAGATCAATGAAATATGATTGCCGATTGCTTGTATTGGTTATTTTTTTTCCTTCTTTAGTGTAATAATTAAACAGAATAAGGAACAAATAAAAATAAGCATCACCAGCAATCATATTTAATTGATCGGACTGTGATATATAAAATAAGGGTGAAATATTATTGGCTGCTCATGATGCAGCTCCACACTGCTGAGCGTTCATTCTCTGCTAAGAGAGTGATGGGACAGAGGGCTTGGAGGAGACTCGGCTCCCTTTACCCCCACCTGCAGGGGGCACATACCCCCCCTCCGATTGCTGCTTCACACTCACTAGCTGAATGCGAGCAGGTGAGTGAAAATTTTGAGGGCTGGGTTTACGTAGTGTTAAAATGCATATCAATGAGCATCCCGACTTTTTTTATTGAAAAAAAGGGGGACAAATTTTGCACAAAGTATGAAAAAGTACATATGCCCATGCCACGATCCCCATTATGTACACCATGAAGAATTAATCTGCAAAAAGGTTTTGTTTAAACTCATAGTTACTTATTTTCCCACTACATTTACTTTCATTGCTTTAAAAAAAAAGGCTTGATGAACAGTTTAGTGCAGTCTTTATAGAGGGGTACAGTACTTCCAATTGATCGACAGTTGGGAACTACTGTATGAATATTAGTATGGTATGACAGTCATATACTTCACTAGGCGAACAACTACTCCAGTAAGGATAGCGGCAGGGATACAAGCAAATATAAACATATACTGGGGGTAGGGATTCCGTTATTAGCAGGACAGATAGGGCAATCTGTCACATAGATCATGATGACTTAACAGTTTGTTTAGAGAGGGTTCAGCAGAACTGTGGGTATAGGATTATAACTTTTTTTTTTAATGTTTGAACTGGATGAACTTTTGTCTTCTTTCAGCCAAACTAACTATGTAACAGATGGACAGATTGTTGGGAGAGGCTTGTGAGTATCCAGCTCTCATGATATATATTGGTACTAATGACAAAGTTAGAGGAATATGGAGTATCCATAAAATGATTTCAGGGACTTAGGTGCTATTTCAAAGAAAAGGACCTCTGAGGTAGTATTCTCAGAAATACTGCCTGTACCATAAGCTACACTCGAGAGGCTCCAAGCGCTAAACAAGTGGCTGAGGAACTGATGTAAGGAGGGTTTTGGGTTCATGGATAACTGGGCTTACTTTACGGTCTGTTACTGGCTCTACAGCAGAGATGAACTGTGCCTAAATGGGGAGGGAGCAGCTTTTTTGGAGGAGAAGTGGCCAGAAGATTGGAGGAGCTTTGAAACTAAGATGTGTGTGTGTGCGCGCGGGGGGTATACCATGCAGTGAACAAGGGTCAAAGTGTGAAGATGTGTGAAAAGTTGTGGGGGAATGGGGCCTCAAGCAAGGAACTACAGTATCCAAGACCAATGCTAGTAGGCTTGCTGAATCTAACTGTAACACAAGAGTGATCAATAATAAACAATATATGCTTTTACACATATACACAAAGGGTATGCACACAAATGCCAGAAGTCTGGTTAATAAAATGGAGGAACTAGAACTTCTGATACATGAGGAGGATTTTGACTTTGTGGGAGTATCAGTTTCATAAATGCCTAATTTAAAAATTAAGATCTTTTGGCATTGACTATAGTTTATGTACCTGAATAGAAAATTGGTGGCAGAAGCACGTCCAGAAGGTAGTGAATAATGGCATATTTTCTGAATGGTCTAGAGTTGTGAGCAGGTACCCCAGAGCAGGGGCGGACTGACAACTCAGTGGGCCCCCGGGCAATAGGGGATCATGGGGTCCTTGCCCAAACTCAAAAAAGCCTATGAAAAAGGTACCAGGGGCATCTCATGGGGCCCCTTACTGACCCCGGGCCCCCGGGCAGTGCCCGAGTTTCCCAATGGTCAGTCCGCCCCTGCCCCAGAGCTCTGATTTTCTTTAACTTGTCCATAAACACTATAAAGGTTGGAATAAATAGTTAAATCTCAGTGTTTGCTGTTGCTATAAAGCTAAGCAGGGCAATAACGTCACAACTGGATACAAGAAAGCTTAGTTTAAAAAAAAAGAGTGGTAAGCTACTATATGACATATACTTTTTTTTAAACTGAAAAATGTAAAGTAAATAACTTTGAAGGTAAAAATATGAACTCAAATTACTCACTAGAGGATGAACCTCTGGAAGAATAGAGGATGGAAATCAGGTGGCCCTTGTAGATAACAGCCTCAGCAACAGCATGCAATGCCAAACCGCAGGAAGCAAGGCTAGCAGACTATTAACATGCATTACAAAGGGTATTTACAAAAGAGATAAAACTATAATTATACCACTTTACAAAACTCTGGTTTGCCAAAACCTGAGAATGCTGTCCAGTGTTGGCCACCAATCATCGGGAAGGATGTGCTTGAATTGGAATCAAGAGAATGGCAACAAAGCTAATAAGAGGGCTGGAGGACATCAGTTAAGAGGACCAACTACAACCATTAAACTTACTCCCACTGGAGAAGAGGCACTTAAGAAGAGATATGATCCCAATATACAAATTCTTTAATGGTGATTCTAGCATTTGAAGGAAACTATTTAGCCTAAGGTCTCTAAAGAAGACATGTGATCACATAATGAAGTTGGATGAGATGTAGTTGAATCTTAAACTGCAAAAGATGCTTTAACCACTTGACCTCCAGAGGATTTACCCCCCTTCCTGACTAGGCCATTATTTGCATTATGGCACTGCGTTACTTTAACTGACAATTGCGCAGTCATGCAACGCTGCACCCAAATTAAATTTATGTCCTTTTTTCCCACGAATAGAGCTTTCTTCCGGTGGTATTTGATTGCCTGTGCGTTTTTATTTTTTGTGCTATAAGAAAAAAAGACTGCCAATTTTGAGACAAAAATATATTTTTGACTTTTTACTATTAAATATATCCAGTAAAAAAATTAAAAAAAATCTAATTTCATCATAAATTTAGGCCAAAATGTATTCTGCTACATGTCTTTGCTACAAAAAAAATACCAATACGTGTAAATTAATTGGTTTACGTGAAAGTTATAGCGTTTACCAATGGCTGTTTTTTTATTTTTATTTTTACTAGTAATAGCTGTGATCAGCGACTTATAGCAGGACTTTGGGACTGCGGTGGGCATTCTGACACTGGAGGGAAATGACTTGGTGTCACTAACATCCCCAGTGACACCAATACAGTGATCAGTGCTAATAAAAAGCACTGACACTGTACTAATGGCACTGGGCAGGAAGAGGTTAACATCTGGGGCGATCAAAGGGTTAACTGTGTGTTGTTTTGCTGTGTGCTGTGTGTGTGTGCTTCACTGCAAGCACGCTGCTATGCATGGCTCTGCTATGCAAAGCCATGCATAGCAGTATGCAGGAGCTGATGGGAGAGAACTGTATTGTTTATTTACAGTTCTCTCCCTCTGTCGGTAATCCAAGTCGATCACTGGGTGCCAGCGAGTAATCACCGGCCGGGATCCAGTGACTGACAGCCTCCTTACCCGGAAATGCAAAATTATGGGAATCGGTTAATCGTTAAAGTGGCAAGGATGTCAAACTCCCTTCCACAGTTGGTGGTGTCAGCAGAGTGTAGTTAATATCAAAAAACTTTTAAATGTGTCTTATCGATTGCAGGGCTATGGAAAATGGTAGTGACATACACCCACACTCTCAGGTTGAACTGAATGGACTGGTATCTTTATTCAACCTTACCAACTATGTAACTACAGTATGTTAACCACGAAATACTTAACACTTGCAACAGCCTTAGGTCCCTTTTTCGTGGGTTCCATACACCCGTTCAGCAGGGGATCCTTGAACAAAATTGTAACAATTCATTTAACAAGAAAATATAATAAAGCCTTTAGCATTGGCTAATGCTGGATGCACACAAAATGCCATACCGTTAAATAAAAAATGTTTTGTACCCTCTTTAAAACATGCTGCAGGTTTATAATTGAAAATAATTAGCGACCCAAACAGTTCCTCTGCCATAACAATGATTTTTGGGGAAAAAACATTTCAATAGACTAAAGTGTTTTAACTCTCCATATCAAGTACAGATGTTATTACTTACAAATCAAATTTAAAAAAATGACTTAAACCACTTCTCATTAATGTAGCAAACACTCTCATTCCAAGATACTGAATGAGAAAGAAACACCATCCCATAAAGATAATAGATATATAGCTACAGTATAACATGCAGAAAACCTGAGTGAATTACTAAAATTTTGTCAAATTGGCTATCTTTACAAATATAGCATTTTTTTAACACTTTGCATTTGATTTGTATAACAATTTATACACTTATAAATTCAATATATTTCCTGCAACTATCAGTATAGTTGTTATGATCATCCATGTACCATACTCGATTTTTACTTTATATTTTTATCCTTTTCATTTTTATGTTGGTTTGATAATAATCTGAATATATTTTTATTTATTTTTTTTTGGGCATAACTTTTTTATTAACTTACATAGGCATTCAAATTTCACATGTTGGTAGTGTAACTCTTCCTCTGTAGTAACTCTTTTCATTGCAGGTAAATAATGGTTGCCGAGCAGAAGCAACGTGCCGCCATTGAGTTCTTTTTTTTTTTTTTTTTTTCCAAGAAATTTTTATTGAGATATGAAAGGCATAACAAGTCATAAACAAATACGGATCGCAGTCCGCGCAAGTCTTTAAGCAAGTTCTCCCGTAACGCAGACGGGTTCAGGACATATAAGTAAATTGTAGCTCAACCTGAAATACAGTCCTAAGGGGAAGGCATAGTATATACCCATAGCAATGATGTTAGCAGTATGTAATTTATAGAAATACGGGGTACAATAGTCCTTGTGTAGGGAGATCTAAAGAAACAGGACAGTGAGGTATATAACAATAGTCGTGTCAACTCAAGGCATACATGTCTTAGGATTCCGTACCTGAACATTATAGATTAGATTCGAGGAGTATTGTTACACCTGTGTGTCTGTAAGTACTCTGTACCTTATGAAAAATATAGTTAGTTAGAATATGGTAAAGAGGTGAAACAGAGAGAAAGAAGAGATGGGAATGAGACGAGCAAGGGAATGGAGGAAGAGTATGAGGAAAGATATCATAGTGGGGCGAGGAGGGACGTAGGGGACGAATACAGAGGAAGAGAGAGAGAGAGAGAGAGAGAGAAAAAGAAAAAAAAAAAAAAAAAGGGGGGGGGGGGGAAAGGGGAGGGGGGGGAGGTGAATGGGGGAAGGATGAGGTATATAACTAAATAGGCATAACCAACCCAGTCATATCAGTTAGCAGCTTCCAGGCTGAGACAGATGCAATCTTTACTTAGAAATACAATTTCGTTAAAGTCCCGTAATGGAACTATTCCTGAGGTGAACGTTCTAGGGGTTTCCGTGTCACCAAATCTCCTCTCGCTCATTCCCTTCATTAGACAATGATAAGTATCGGTAGTTTGGAAATGATTCCAACACGCCCAAGTCTTCCTGAATCTCTCGGGGTGTTCTTTTGCCACTGAAATATATTTTTATATATTATTTCAAAGTAAATGGTTAACATTTTAAAAAAATCATCTGAAAGAGTCATATATGTATTACAGAATATGGAAATTCAGGCATAGCCACACAAATACATTAATTAAAATATCAGATGCAATGTATAGCAATAATAATATAAATATCAAATGCCCTTTTTTTACCAATATACACTGTATGAAATGAAATATATAGTTTAGTTAGGCATCTAGTACCTGCATAGTGCAAATAGAATCGCCTTATAATTAAAATGTTGTCAAATTGGCTACCTTTACAAATACAGTCTTAACTGTTTCTTTTTTTTAAACATTTTGCATTTGATTTGTATAACAATTTATACATTTATAAGTTCAAGATATTCCCTACAACTATCAGTATAGTTGCTAAAGTCATCAATGTGCCATACTCCATTTTTGCTTTATTTTTTATCCTTTTAATTTTTATGTTGATTTGATCATAATCTGAATATATTTTTATATATTATTTCAAAGTAAATGGTTAACATTTTTAAACAATTCTGATAGAGTCACACATGTATTACAGAATATGGAAATTCAGGCATAGCCACAACAAATACATTATTTAAAATATCAGATGCAATGTATAGCAATAATAACATAAATATCAAATGTCCTTTTTACTAATATACACTGTATGAAATTAAATATATAGTTTAGTTAGACACATACCTGCACAGTGCAAAAAAGAATTACCTTATAATTATAATTGGCCTAAAGTGGATGTTCAGCCACAAATGTAAAAAATCAGGGAAATCACACATAATCTTTAGAAAAAAAGCCACATAATTCAAACAGACAAAAGACTGCATTATCAAAATATTTGTCAGCATTATCTTCAATCATGGCTATTCAGGAGTGATTCAAATTATGGCAATGTGGTCAGGGCAAGGAAATGTCACAAGTTAACCTTCAGTTTCTTGTTTATGTATTCTTACTAGAGATGAGCGAATCGAACTCGGCGAAGTGGAATTCGTTTCGAATATTAGAAAAATTTCGCCGAATCCGAAAATTAGCAGACTTCGGATGCGCGAATCGAAATTTTTCCAAAAATGGAGGCGACATGTGCGGCGACGGAGCAGGGATCTCTGGGAAGGCGCGCAGACAAGGCGCGCTGACCCATAATGCATTCATTCATGACATGTGATCGCATTAGCCAATCAGCAGCCAGCCAGCACTGTGTAATGGTGGAGCTATAAATTGCGTCCATCTTACAATTCTCCATTTGCCTCTGGTCATTCAAGAGAGACAGATCTCTCTGTATTAGGGACACAGAACCGTTACTTAGGGACACAGAACCGTTACTTAGGGACACAGAATTGTTACTTAGGGACAGACACAGAATTGTTACTCAGGGACAGACACAGAATTGTTACTCAGGGACAGACACAGAATTGTTACTGAGGGACACAGAATTGTTACTGAGGGACACAGAATTGTTACTCAGGGACAGACACAGAATTGTTACTCAGGGACAGACACAGAATTCTTACTCAGGGACAGACACAGAATTCTTACTGAGGGACAGACACAGAATTGTTACTGAGGGACACAGAATTGTTACTGAGGGACACAGAATTGTTACTGAGGGACACAGAATTGTTACTCAGGGACAGACACAGAATTGTTACTCAGGGACAGACACAGAATTGTTACTCAGGGACACAGAATTGTTACTGAGGGACACAGAATTGTTACTGAGGGACACAGAATTGTTACTCAGGGACAGACACAGAATTGTTACTGAGGGACACAGAATTGTTACTGAGGGACACAGAATTGTTACTCAGGGACACAGAATTGTTACTCAGGGACACAGAATTGTTACTCAGGGACAGACACAGAATTGTTACTGAGGGACACAGAATTGTTACTGAGGGACACAGAATTGTTACTCAGGGACAGACACAGAATTGTTACTCAGGGACAGACACAGAATTGTTACTGAGGGACACAGAATTGTTACTGAGGGACACAGAATTGTTACTCAGGGACAGACACAGAATTGTTACTGAGGGACACAGAATTGTTACTGAGGGACACAGAATTGTTACTGAGGGACAGACACAGAATTGTTACTCAGGGACACAGAATTGTTACTCAGGGACACAGAATTGTTACTCAGGGACACAGACACAGAATTGTTACTAAGGGACACAGAATTGTTACTGAGGGACACAGAATTGTTACTGAGGGACAGACACAGAATTGTTACTGAGGGACACAGAATTGTTACTCAGGGACAGACACAGAATTGTTACTCAGGGACACAGAATTGTTACTCAGGGACAGACACAGAATTGTTACTGAGGGACACAGAATTGTTACTGAGGGACACAGAATTGTTACTCGGAGGACACAGAATTGTTACTCAGGGACACAGACCTGACAGAATTGTTACTGAGGGACACAGAATTGTTACTCAGGGACACAGAATTGTTACTTAGGGACACAGAATTGTTACTGAGGGACACACAGAATTGTTACTCAGGGACACAGAATTGTTACTCAGGGACACAGAATTGTTACTGAGGGACACAGAATTGTTACTGAGGGACACAGAATTGTTACTCAGGGACAGACACAGAATTGTTACTGAGGGACACAGAATTGTTACTGAGGGACACAGAATTGTTACTGAGGGACACAGAATTGTTACTGAGGGACACAGAATTGTTACTCAGGGACACAGAATTGTTACTCAGGGACACAGAATTGTTACTGAGGGACACAGAATTGTTACTCAGGGACACAGAATTGTTACTCAGGGACACAGAATTGTTACTCAGGGACAGACACAGAATTGTTACTGAGGGACACAGAATTGTTACTCAGGGACACAGAATCGTTGAATTAAAGAGTATGTCAGACAACATGCAGAGGAGTGGCAGAGGAGGCAATGTTTTAGGAGCGAGCAGACGTGGCAGCAGAGGAAGGGGTCGAGGCAGCACTAGTCGCAGCCAGAGGCCAGTGCT